CTTCCCACTTTGCTCATTACTACTTCACACCTTAATTGCCATTTTATTAGTTTTCACTCCATCATCCTCTTTTGCAATTTTTAGTTTCATTACTTTTTTGCTTATATTTTTTTTTGGTTCGTTTTGACGTTTTGTTTGATGTCATTTCGCCATTTTTAACATCGCTGCATATTCCGACAATGACTGCAGTCTGTCCTCTGCCCTTCCATCGCGTTTTCTTTGACATCATTCGAACAACTGCTTTCAATGTTTCTCAAGCTACGTTGGGTTCATAAAAAAGGGAAAATAATAAACTCGTGTGAACTCACAACAAAAATCCCATAATTATTTTAAAACTACGCCAATTACGGCAATAACTGCATAAGCTGTAAATGTACTGAGGAAACACAGATTTCCTTGTAAATAATGCAATAAAGCAAAATTGCAAAATACTAACTGAGTGGGGTTTGGAAAGAATGTAGGTTGATGCTTTTTTGTTTGCAGCAAAATAGTGAAAGCTACAGCAACAGCTACCGAGGAACCGGAACCGGAGAACCGGGCCCTTAAAAGCAACGACCGGTCAGATTCTTACAAGAAATCGAGCCCTAACCGCCAAAATAACGTAAGCGACATATTTTTAAAAATTTTATTTTTGATGCAGAAATGCATCTTGATGCTCTAGGAATATTTCTGCATCAAAAAGAAAATTTTGAAAAAAATGTCGCTTACGTTATTTTGGCGGTTAGGGCTCGAAATTGTCTCAGAAAAACTGAAAAAATAATTTAAAAAAACTGAAAACCCATTCCAAAAAACCGATAAACGCACCCTGCTTATTTTGACATTCGGTTTAGGTATACATACATATATTATAGAGTTCTGAGTTGACATACCAAATGTTCGGTTCAAGGCCCAATATCATATAGCCGACATATACCCGGTCTGGCCAACTCACATCAACTTCTTTGTTTTAATGCTTGAAATCCGGTTTGTTTACGTAAGTACTATGGAGTTCTGAGTTGAGCTATAAAATTGTTTCCTTTGAATCTAATGTTATGCTAGTATTCTTCCTGGTCTTTGACGCTGTTTAATCGCTGTCAGCTGAAGAGCAGCGACGATATCAAAAAACTGATGTTTTTAAATGGAAACATTACTTTATTTCAAAAGGAAACTTTAAAGAGGAAAACGCTTCCTTCAATTTAATTTTATATATTTGGTTTTTATACAATTTAAGATATAAAATGAAATTGAATTTTTGTAAAAAGTTTTTTAAATCTATTCAAGCTATTTCTATAGAGCCGGTCCGAATTCCCGGTTCTGCTTGGAACCGGGCCCGACAGAACCCTTTCTTTAAATACTCATAACCGCACATCACTATAATCAATATTTACATTACAATTCAAATGTTTAAAACGTTTTTTTCACGAAATCAGGTTTTACGACTTATTTATGACCACAAACATAAGTAATTTTTGATTCTAGCCCTTGAAGCTTCTTCGAAGAAACAAAAGAATTATACATAATTTGTTCCAATTAATTATTCCAATGTCAGGAAAAATCTTAATAATTTTTAAAAGGCTTTACAAACGTGCCGCACATATACCTACATAAGTAATTTTTGATCGCAATCCCAAGAAGGGACAAGAACAATATAATTTATTATAATCAAATTAAATATAGAAAAAACTAGACTCTATATTTTTATAGGCATTTTTTATGTAATAGAATTTATTCCCAAGTGAAAGTTTTCAAAGCGAAAGGCTAATTCTCAAACTTTGAAAAAACATCGATGTTACCAGACAACGAAATCCCCATATACAAATGTGTTTTCAATTGTTCATACTTCTTACAATCGGCTTATTAACCATGAAAAATTCAAACCATAACTTGGTTGAGAAAACCATTTTCCTTTTGGCTCAGTGCGGCAGTGGTATTTAGGGCTGGTGGACGTCTTTACGGAACCAGTACAATAATATAGAACTAGATAGAGTTCAGAGAGTCTTATTTATAAGACTACATCATCAATCAGATGTTTTTTCAATCCTTTCTTACATACCCTCTTCGAAGTCTCAGAGACAGAAAGAATAATCGCATATATTTAATAGAATAACTTCTCGATTTTCGTCCCAGCTAATTTTAGACACTGATTATGCAGGACCCAAAATAGAATACCCCAGGCCATTTGGGGACCTTCCCCCCGTTGAGAGCCCTCTAGGATGCGATGAAACCTAAATCGAACGCAGAGTTTGAGCAGGAATTTCTCCTGAATACCTGGGATTTCAAGGCAGAACAATTTTCTAAAGCTAAAAGCTGCCACCTTTTTAAATAGCTTACTGGTAGCAAGTCGCTTTTTTTCTCGGACAGCCGGACGGCTCTTTTGCGACAAAGTCAAATTTGATAACAGAGTGTACAAATCTTCTGTATACAGTAGTCAACTCTAAGTAGATTTGGCTTGGATCTCTGGACATCAGAAATTTCCCTACACCACTAATAACTTTATGTGTATGTATGTAGATATAGGGACACTTGTCTCCAAACTCTTCTGGAAACTAGCGATTAAAGTCGTAAAATCATAGGCAAGATGCTCTATTCGCTTTTTTATATTTTTTTTCTCTGCAGTGTTCCACAAACGACATACAATATAGAATTCAGGGCTTGGAAATCTTCTAACCTTTCTTTATACACACAATTTTTCTTCTTAAGTCCTTTTTAAACATAACCCGCGAAACAAATTATTAGCTGCTGCTTTATTCCAATGTGCTTAACCTCAAAAACAAACATGGCGAATTATAAATGAAGAGTGCAAAGGTTACCCAAATGTAATGAAGCATTAAAAATTTACGAGTATCAAAGCGCAATACTCCTAAAAGAGGCCAGTCATGTCTGCCAGCATTTCAGTTGTTTCTTCTTCTTTTGATTTTGCTATTTGCCATGCTTTTGTAGTGGAATCCCAGTTAAGGATCAATAAAAGGTCGACCACCTGTGTGTGAAACATTTATACAATTTCTCTTTTTCCTTGTTTTTGCTTTAACAAATTACCGCAGACAGTCAAAACCCAAAGGTAGGAAGGACAAGGGCACAGATGGCACAGAGATTGCTGGCTGCCAGACTAAAAAAAGCCAAACAAATATAACTTAGACAGACAGGCTGGGAAATGTGAACCTAAACAAATATACGAATAAACAACATACTTGTAGGAGATATTTGTAATAGTATTTGTATTTGCATTATGTGTGTGATTGTGGCCAAAAAACCAAAGCACGCCAGACGCCATAACGTGAGTTTATGAATAAATTACTACAGCAGTAACAACCGCTACATATAGCACCTAACGGTGTATTCATTGTTTGTATTTGCTTTTAGGTTTTTTGCTCGTATTTTGGCTTTCCTTTTGGCAGTGGCAAGGACGCGTTTTCTACAGCACGCCACGCCACGACGCGGTTGTCTGTCTAGCGCGGTGAAAATGTTTATACTGCATACACTTATGAATGCGTGTGTGTGTGATTACATAGGTACATATGCCATTGTCCTTGCTGCCACATGCGTGCATTTGTATGTGTACACCTGCTCTCTCGCCCATTGAGCAATTACTTTTCGGTGGATTGGGCAGGACGTTGAAGTTTACGTGAGGAGCGAAAAAAACCAAAAATCGTGACATGTTGGTAGCTAGAACGAAATAAGGACAACAAAAAAAGCAAATATGCAGCGTATTTGTGGAATTTCTGTGTCAGTGTTTTTTTAGCGGGGTCAGCAAAAATTTCATATTTTCCATAGCGAGCAGCACGTTTTGTGAAATGTCGGTTGAAAGCTGAAGAATGCTGGGAACAAATGATTTTTAGTCGTCAATTTAAGGTATGTTACCATGGCGTATGGTGAACATTGGAATGGAAGTGAAATTGCGAAATGGAGCTGCGATAATAGTCAAGAAAGCGAAGTAAGCGGATCGTTATCATTATACTAAATATGTATGTATGACCATTATTTTCAGCTGAAAATTTTGTTTTAGTCATTACGATTAACCCATTTAGGCCATAAATCTATAAACAAAAAAAAAGCCTTTTGAGTTGCAGATTGTGATCTTTTACGAGCTAAGTAACGATACACATTTTAATGGAAAAAATATAATTTTCTGCGATTGTTTTGAAATAATCTTTAACAAAATCTGGTTTTACTGGACAATATATCGTCACCTGAGTGGAAGATCGAACACCCTATCCCAGAAACTTTTCAAGAACGCCCTATTTCAGAATTTTATTGAAAAACACCTTATCTCAGGATTTGGTTGAAGAACGCTCTATCTCAGAATTCGGTTCAAAAACGCCCTAACTCAGCAGAAAATACATTGAAAATGTGCTAAATTCCAGACCTTCAGCCTGCCACTTGCAAATTCGTGCAGGTGGAAAGATTCTCTTCATCCCAGGGATTCAGAGAAAGCTTATACGTTACATTTTGAATCCATCGGTGTATAAGAGATGTATCCAGGCGTATGCCTAATCGATATTTCTACCCTTATATCGCACACCTATGTAGATCTAAAGTGAGCTAACTCAAAATTCTTAGAGGGAAATTTAACTGCTTGTGGATCGTACAGATTCAACGCAATTGATACAAAATCAGGTATAACAGTCGTTTTTTAGTTTATGTAAATATATAATCATGAAGAAAAAATATGTAAATTAGTTGGATGCAAGTGCTATGAATTAATTTATGGAAAAAAATCGCCAAAAAAATTTTATTTTTTTTTTTTAGTTGATCGCACTTTAGATCTAGGTGTGCGATATGTTCGATGATTTTTTTATATGGAGGAAAAGGCACAAACCCGTCAACAAAAAAAAAAATACCAATGGTATTTTTTAGCCATTGCAAACTCGTACTTTGTCATACTAGAATTAAATGGGCTAAACTAACTTCCCAAAAATTAATACATACAAATTTTGGTTAAAAATGTGAAATTTTGATGAAACTTTGTTTGTGGCTCTATCGTAAGATCCTGCGTTGGTATGGTACGTAATAATATACTAAATTAATTACCATAATTGTTTAAATAATACTTACTCACAAATTGTTTCAAAGTATCCAGTGACGTGCTGAAACAAAGAAAAAATTATTAAAATAGTATTATATAGTATACATAAGCTAGTTAGTTAGTTAACAGCATGAGTATAGCAAAATATAAACACTGCGACCGGAAAGGTTTTTTTTATTTCTAAAGACCCAGTGTGATTAAGGTCAGGGCTTCGGAGCGCAGCGGAGCTAAGGAGCAAAGGATTTTAGCTGGAGCGGAGCTGGAGCAAAGAGCTAAAAAAAATTCATTTTCTCCTTAGCTCCTTAAAGAAAAATGTTCAATAAGGGCATTCAAGCTATCCTCGTTAATATATTAATTCGTTATCTGGTAACTCGGTAACACTTTCCTAAGGGCTTAAAGCCCCATTGGCCATCTGCCAAATTTTGTACCTATCCCATCAAAACATGAACCTGCTTTCTCCTTGATCACTAAACCGCTTGTGTACCGATGTAAATATTTGGGATGAAGGGCAGTGAGTCCAATATTCGCGATCTAGGGTTTTCACTTGGAACATTCTGCCAGATTAGATCTCTTTAGAGTCAGAAATTCTGCATATTTTCAGCCCTGAATACCTGCGTGACGCTTCTTATATAGAAGTCTTCAGTCCCCATGTACTTTCACCAACTTTTCTTCAGACCCACATATCCCGGGTGGATCTAGCAACAGTTTTCTCAAGATATTAGTCTCTTATCTAGCGTAATCCCTAGAAACTGACCTCGTCGGAGTACTGTCCCTAAAAGAATGACCGAACCAAGTTTGAGTTTATACCTTGTTGTAAAGGGTAAAATAACAGCCTTTTGAGTATTGGCACACCATTTTGACACCACACGGAGAAGCTGCACTTGTAATGTCCGAGACAATATTGCCAAATTTTCTTGTAACTAAAATTGCCAGTTCATCCGCGTACCTAACGGTACCTTAATTACACTTATGTGGTCTGATTAGAGGGCAGCATCTCATGGCTTTGACCTTCACTTAAGTGGTTCCAAAGCAAAGCGTCGATCCAACCAACAGCAGCGGGATCTAAACTCTTTTAGAGATAATACCATAGACAGAATTATCGAAACCCCACGATGTCCACAAATGTACACATTGTAATCTCCTTGGACTCAACGGCGTTTTCGATTTTACTAACCAGACACAGGAAAGCCAAATCAGTTGATATTTCTTTGACATAAGTAAATTGAATGTGATGTTAGAGAGCGAATGAGCTCAGTATGCCCCTCACATGGAGATCAAACAATCTCTCTAGTTTTTTGAGAGTGACAGAAGTTAGACTAACGTATTACATACATAGGTATGTAAGATTTAGCTAAGTCAAGGGACCTCTTTTCCGCTTTAGGAGTAAATAACGCGGACAGCTTCCTCCACAGCAATAACTTGCTCTAAATAGACAGACCAGGAAATCAATGATGTCCTAACCTTACATTTTATCTAGGAGGAACCAGGTAATATGCAGACATGCAAAGATTCCAGTAGGGCGCTGTTGAGCTGATCCGCTGCAGCCTCCAATTCGTCGATTGAGTTAATAACGGTTAGCAACGTGTCTGCACTCAGATTCACCAAAAGTTTAAAAAGAACTCAGTTAAGGGAAAATCAAGTTGTACACACCTAGCTTTTTTTACTTTACTTTTTTTTTAATCCCTTGTGAAATACACATAGAAAAAGTCAGCTAAATATATTTCTCTCAACATATGATTTGGTTATAGTTTTAATTTCATGACTAAAAATTACTTCTTGAATGAATGCAACAATGAAGAAGCGTTTGGACGGACAGAAAATTAACCAATCCGTTACCTCGCATACAGCTAGGGATGCAACATCTTTCATAAAAACATCGATGTTTGCACACAAGTGCGCTCGGATATAAAAATACACATTTTAATATACACTGTCGGTCAAAAGTGGGTGCATGTTTTTTTTTTAATATTTGGAATTTTTTTCAAATAAAAATGTTTATTTGTTTTAATCAAAACCACATAGAAAAAACTGGGGCATGCCGACATATTAGTTATGTAATTCTAGTGAAACTGTCAAACTTTATACAGAATTTACAAAAATTCAACACTTTTTCATCTTAGTTTTGAATTTATTAACTGAATCTTAAGAAGAAGTTGGGGTATGCAGGTATATCGGTTATGTAATTCTAGTGAAACAAGTGCAAGTTTTAAGTGTTTAAAATATTGCTTTGATTTTTAATAACTTTTTTGCTGACGGCTTTTTGCGCTTTTTACCATATAAAAGTGTTGCACATTAAATAAATCTTATTTATTTGAATATAAAAATTTTGAAATAGTGTTCAGAAAAGAAGCTTTGCTAATCTAGTCCCCAAAGCCTACTTATACTCTGAGTGATGGTTACACCAGCTTCCGAGAACAAGCTCTCACTTGGCAATGGTCGTTCAGCAGAGTACGAACGGAATGAGTGAACGATGTCGATGTTTTTCACTTTTCTAGTCGATGTATCGATGTCCAGCAAAACATCAACGTTAATATCGATATTTACGGACGAAACATCGATGTTTTGAAAACATCGATGCATCGCTTGCATCCCTACATACAGCCGTCTCATTCAACTTGACACTTAATTAGTCTACCAATTAATAGAATGACCAATGAGCTGAGCAAAGGGGAAAGAAATAAAAACAACAAGCAATATTCATAGCAACAGCAGCAACAAAAGCAAAACAAATAGCAACAAAAGGAAAAAAAGCGTCGCTACCAGTAATGAAGGCGCGACTTTACGCCACACACATGTGGGAGTGTTGTGTTCTGTCCGTCGCCTGCTGCCGTCGCTAAACAGGAAAGAAAATAAGAAAAATGCATTTTTTGTTGGGTAATTAAATTATTCGTGTTAGCGTGCAATGGAATTTAACAGCAAAATAATAAGAGAAGGCGAGTTGTAGCATATGAAATTTGGGGAAATTACTTTTTTCGTTTTTAACTACATATCTGCTTAACTGACTGTGTGGCGATTTGTCGCTGTCATTTGTGATGAATTGCTTTGCAAGTAATAATTTTGTATAGATTAATTATGTACAAATTATTATTTTTCGTTCGCTTAGCACGCTCGGCGAGTGCAATGCACTTTTTGAAAGTGACAGAGGAAATCCATTAATTTTCGAATTAATTTTGCATTTACGAACATGGCATGATTTTGTGCCAAAAATGGCGCAAAAATTTAACTAAAAAAAAATACAGCAGTATAAAATAAAATTTAAGGCTTAAAAAAAAAGTTAGTATTTCAATTAAAAATGAATGAAAATCAATCATTTTAATTTTGAAATTTCATCTAAATAATTCGGGTTTAAAAGGTAATTTTCTTTTAATATAAAACTGTTCCTAAACTCGTCTTAAACTTAAAAATGGGCTTATGGGCCGCAACAAGGGCAAAGTCAAATTTATGTCTCAAAAGTTAAAAGAAGCTGGTAAATTTCAGAGACAATTTTATTTTTAAAATACACGTTAAATACAGTGTAACTAGAATTGTAATGTGGATAAAATCTTTTTTTTAGTTAGTTAAAATAAAGAGAAAATAAAATTTATTAGTATCAAAAATTTAACATAATAAAAAAAAATCTATGTGTAGAACTAAAATAAAAAATAAAAGTAAATTAAATTTAAATAAAATGAAAAATTCAAAATAAAAGCGAAATAATCCCAATAAAATAAAATACAAAATATTAAGTTTAATAAAAAATTAAAACAAAAATAGAAATAAAATAGAAAAATCGCAAAAAAAAACAAACAAATTGTTAAATTTATTTAGAATTAAAACATAATAAAATACTAAAAATAATAAACTTACTTAAAATCCAAATGTAAATATATTCTAGAGAAAATAAAAATAACTGCAAAAAATAGAAACTTACTAAATTTTATTTAAAAAATAAATTCATACTCGTAAAAATATAAAGTAAAAAATATATAAATTTAATAAAAACAAATTAAAACAACATTACACCAAATTAATAAAAAATTTTAAATAAAATAGAAATACATAATCGCAATAAGATAATATAAAAATTTAAATAATTCAAATGTAAAATAAATAAAAAATTAAAAAAAAAATCATAATGCAAACCTAAAACAAATATAAATTTTAAAAATTTTAATTAAATTAAAATAAAAAATTCTATATAAAATAACGGTAATCGCAAAATAAATAAAAACCTAATTAAACCTAAATAAAATTACTATAATTTCAAATAAAATTTTCTAAATAAAATGGGAACATTCTAAACAAAATAAAAAATTATTAAGTTTAACTAAAACAAATAAAATATAAAATAAATGAAATTAAGAAAAATTTGAATTGCAAATTAAAATGTTAATAAAAAATTCCAATTAAATAAAAATAATCGCAGTGAAATAAAAATATCATTATATTTAATTTAAATAAAAACAAAAAAAAAATAAAAAAATTATAAAAGGTTAAAATATAAGTAAAATAGAAATAAAAAATTGTAAAATAATTTTAAAAATTATTAAAATTAATATTTATAATAAGAACAAAATAAAACATCTAAAAACATAACAAAATTAATAAGAATTAGAATAAAAAAGATCCAAATAAAATAGAAATGAATAATCGCAATAAGGTAAAAAAGTAGTAAATTTAAATAAAAATAATCTAGAACAAATAATAAATAAATTATAATAAACAAATACATATTTCGAAGATAAAATAATAAAATTATTAGGTTTAATTTAAATAAAAAATAAATAACATAAACTAAAAAATTAAAATTAAAAATTTTAGTAACATTCAAAAATTCAAGATAAAATAGACCTTTTACTCGATTTATTTAAATTGAAATGAAATGAATGAAAGTGAAATTGTAAGAAAAAACGATTGCTTCGTTTTTATTTATACAGCCCATTGAAATCCATTAAAGTAAAACAATTAAAAAGGCAATAAAAATAATTAAAATTTAAATAAAAAAGTTATCCGCCCCCGGGTGGGCTCGAACCACCAACCTTTCGGTTAACAGCCGACCGCGCTAGCCAATTGCGCCACGGA